ACATCACAACACACCACACTCCAAACCCCTGAGTCCCCGTGTTTTTAACTAGGCGGGCGTGAATAGGGATGCCGTGCAGTTGTGTCCGCCCTCCCTACACGGCACCGCAGGCCACGCCCCACCACAGCCAGTATGGGAGATATGTGGTCTCGCTTGCGTGTGCCAGTTAGTAACCGTGCTCCAGCATTTTGGGCCAGCTGCAGATGGCTAACTGATGACAGACTAACACCAGAGTAAAGACTATTACAGTAGTCGAGAGTGGAGAGGACCCAACGGTCAACCAGTGTTACCCCCAGAAATCAGGTCCATAGACTAGGACACGTGGGAACTGCCCAAATGGAGAGGAATTGGTGTCATTGGTGGAACCCATTCTTGAGAGACATGATAACATTACACGTGCGAAAATGCCCAATTTGCGACCAGTATAACCCTAAACAAACAGTAAAACCAGAGATGGGGGCTTTCTCACTTCTGTCACGGCCTGGACCGGAGATTGCATAGACTTCACAGATATGATAACATGGGTAAGGGGTTGTAGTTATGTAATGGTGCGTGTGAACACATTCACTGGGTGGCCAGAGAGGCCAGCAAATGAGTGATGAAGTGTCTGGTAAACCACCATATCTTGAGACATGGGTTTCCTGAGAAGATAAGATCAGACAATGGAATACACAGATTTTCAGAGAGTGGAGGAAATGATAGGGTTGAAACATAAATTTGGCACAGTTTACCATCCACAATCACAAGGTAAAGTGAAGAGAATGAACCAGAATCGGAAAAACAAATTGGCCAAAATCTGTGCACAGACCAAAATAAATTGGGTGGATGCATTACCAATAGCACTAATGTCCATCAGGTGTTCAGTAAATTAGGCTACGCATGTTACCTTTACGAATTGATGACAGGGAGACAGTTTCCAGGTCCTGGGGCAGATATCAAAGTATTAAATGAGGGAACTAGTAAATTAAAATGTAGTACACAATTTGATTAACTAAAAGCTCTTGTCTCAAGTTTTACCAAGCAGGTTGGAGAAAGAACGAGGCTTTCTGAAGGAAGCACACTGCCAGAGGCTCGGTGGGTCTGTCTGAAATTGCTCAAGGAGAAGTGGTTGGAGCAAAGGTGGACCAGACCGTTCGAGGTGGTGGAGAGGATCTCCTATGCTGTGCAGTTGAAAAGAAAGGGAGAGACCTGGTATCGTTGGAGCCAGTGTGCTGTGGCTGAGGAGGCCGGAAGGAGTGTGAAGGAAATCCAGGAGGACCTGACGGTGCAGGTCCAAAGCCCTGACTCAGACGAATCAGAGAACATCCAGACTTTAACCACAGGGGCAGAATAATCCCCTCCTCTGTGGTAAAGACACCCACGGCTTGTTATTTGGGTAACAATGAACAGTCTGAGCTGGAACAATGGAGTCGGTGCAGAAAGTTATGTAGTCTGTGATACACTCAGTAAGTTTTTGACTCGTGGTCACAGGTTCACTCCTCACAATTGGCACATAGTGGGGGGTGAGGTGAATCAGGTTATGATCTGACCTACCAAGTGGGGGTAGGGAGGAGGAGCTGTATGCATCTTGACATTAGCATACAGTAGGTCTAAAATTTTCTCTCCCCTGGTGGGACAGTCCACATATTGTCTGAATGTTGGTGTATTGTCCAGTGATACATGGTTGAAGTCACCCGAGATTACAATAAAGGCACTCGGGTGCTCAGTCTGTAACCGGGCTATGGCAGAGTGGGTAGTGTCACATGCAGCTGTGGGGTTAGCAGAGGGAGGAACATAAACAGCCGCCAAGATGACATGAGAGAATTCCCTGAGTAAATAATACGGCCTGAGTCCAACAGCACACAGTTCAATGTCCGGGCAACAAATCCTTTCTTTGACTGTTATGTTGGCAGGGTTACACCACCAGTTGTTAACTAAAACAGCAAGCCCACCTCCTTTCTGCTTACCGCTAGCAATGCTGTCCCTGTCCGCCCAAACAGTGTGGAAGCCTTCCACGGAAGCATTCTCGTCAGGAATGTCCTGGTGCATCCATGATTCATCCATGAAACACATCAGGCTACACTCTCGGTATTCCCTCTGACGCCGTACCAGTGCTGAGAGCTCGTCGATTTTACTTGATAACGATCGCACATTTCCCATTACGATAGACGGCAGACACGGTTTATACCTCCCCCTCGCTTCGAGCCTCCGCTGTCTCACCGTCACCTTCTTTCTTCTCGTCCGTCCTTGACCTCTGCATCCCCGATGTGTTTTTCTCCAAATTTCAGCTGGTATTTCTGCGGGTCTGGCATCAGGGCGATCAGCTGATCTCTGGAGTAAACAGTCCATGCATGTAGGAGATGTGCCGCGGTCCCGTTCCTTGATAAAAGTAATAGTTCCACAGCCACCAGAAGAACAAAAAGTCTCTCAATCCACATGATTGAGTGAAAGATGATAAACGGATGAAAATACAAGTCAGGTAGAGTATAAAAGGAAGCCAGTTGCTTTTAGAGGGGCTGGAGTCTTTGCTGTGTGTTGGTGTGTCAACATGTGTTCTCTTTAATAAAGTCTTCTATTTGATGTTACATTTTCTTCAGTCTTGTGCCATTTTATTGGAAGTGACCCGTGACCGCCGGCCAAAACTGACACAGCTAGCCAAGGTTAAGCCATGCCTTCCAGCTAATATCTTTGAATGTGTTATTCATTTGTTCATTACTTACAGACTGGACTACTGCAATTGTCTGATCTCTGGTTTGGACCAGGCCTCTCTTTATCGTCTCCAGTTGGTCCAACATGCAGCTGCTTGTCTGCTAACTGGCACTGAAGGGAAGGAGCATATCATCCCCGCTTTGGCCTCTCTACACTGGCATCCTGTTCCTTACAGGATCCAATTTTAAATTGTACTTTTTGTTTTTAAATTGCTTAACTGCTGAGCCCCTTCTTACTTATCTGAGCCCCTTTTTATTTATGCTCCAGAAAGAACCGTGAGGTCCAGGTCAAAACTAATCTCAACTATTCCACGGACTAAACTTAAAGTCTCGTGAGACAGGCCCTTCTCTGTGGCAGGTCCCAGACTCTAGAAGAGTCTTCCACTTAATATAATGACAATGGATTGGATTTATATAGCGCTTTTCTTGGCACCCAAAGTGCTTTACAATTCCACTATTCATTCACTCTCACATTCACACACTGGTGCAGGCAAACCACAGTTGTAGCCACAGCTGCCCTGGGGCAGACTGACAGAAGCGAGGCTGCCATATCGCTTTTATTATTATATGCTGCTATCAATATTAGATCTGCTCACTCGCAAGTTTCAAATCATTACTAAAGACACATTTTTATGGTCTGGCTTAACACACTTTAACCTAAACAGTTTGGTTTAACAGCCTTAGTTGTTGTTTTTGTTGTTTTTATTGACTTATTTTATTTATTTATTTTTCAATATTTTACTGCAGCATTGTTTTGCATTTTATTTATTTTAGTTGCATTGTGTCCTGGGGAGAGAGGAGAGTGAGAGACAGAGGGGTGGAGCAAGAGAGGGAGAGGCGGAGAGAAAACACCACACCCACACAAGGCCAGTTTCAGGAGGCCCAGTGCCGTAACACATTGTTAAGCACCGTGTAAATAAGCTTGAATAAACTTTATAAGCTTGACCTTGACTTTAACCTTGATAAATTTTCCAGTGTTTGAAAAAAGGACAGACAGTGAAAGAAAGAGGTCCCTAGTCTAAGGAGCTTGGAAAGAAAAGCGTCTGGACTTTAAGTTGCTTGAACACATTTTACCTCTCATCCGAGAAGCTTCTTCAGTTCCAGGGTCAAATGGTGGAGAGTCCCAGATTTAAACCCTGTGGGAGTATCCGCCCACAGAGGGACAAAAGGATGGATGACCAATATGTCAATTTTATGACCAATAAACAGGCAATATGTCTGTGACTGAGAACCTTCAGATGGTTTGAAAGAGGAGTGAAAGAAGCCATCTATGTCCACTGTGAGCGACCATCTTTGAA